AGTGACCAGTAGGAGAGAGTGAGAGTGATAACACCAAATGTATAACACACCTGCTCCCCATTCACACCTGAGACCTTGTAACACTAACGAGTCACATGACACCGGGGGGGGGGAATGGTTAATTGGGCCCAGTTTGGACCTTGTCACTTAGGGGTGACTCACTTTTGTTGCCAGCGGTTTAGACATTAATGGAGGTGTGTTGAGTTATTTTGAGGGGACAAGCAAATTTACATGTTATACAAGCTGTACACTGACTACGTCACATGAAAAGGTAGAATCAAAGATTTACACAAATGTGAGGGGGGACTCACTTCTGGGGAGATACTGTATAAAGTATTGGGCCAGCCTTCAAAATCGTGTGATTCAGGTGTTCCAATCCCCTCCATGGCCACAGGTGTATACAATCAAGCACCTAGGCATGCAGACTGCTTCTACAAAACATTTGTGAAAGAATGGGTCGCTCTCAGGAGCTCAGTGAATTCATGTGTGGTAAGATAGAATCAAATATTTACAAAAATGTGAGGGGTGGACTCACTTCTGGGAGATACTGTAGCGTGTAGTCAGACTGGTCTGGAATGGTAAGTGGGGTACTCCAAGGCTCTGTCCTGGGACCAATTCTGCTTTAATTTATTCATAAGCAATATGGAGGCTGGCATAAATAGCTCAATCTCAGCGTTTGCTCACAATACAAAGCTAAGTAGAGGAATAACTTCACAGTAGGATATAGAAACTGATAAGAGAAAACCTCAATACAAAATTGGGATGGACAGATACAAGGCAAATGAGGTTTAATGTTGAAAAATGTAAAGTAATGCACTTGGGGGGGTTAAAAATATGAACTTAAGTTATTTGCTAGGGGGAAAACCTTTGGGGGAATCCAGGATGGAAAAAGATCTGAGGGTCCAAGTAGATGACAGACTCAGCAATGGCATGAAAAAATAAAAGAAATATGGTGGCAGTTGTGGTCAGCCGTCGGTTCTGCTGTTGGGAATCCCCAGTAGATATTGCCCATCCACCATTTCCATCATTCTTCTCTGACACGGCTAATCCTCTTTATAGATGCCAAGTGTTGTGTGATGTAGTCATGTTTACTTGACCTTTACCAACTGCATGCAGGACAGAAAAAGGTACAAAGCGATATATATCTAGAACTAAACTGAGTAGTGGCGCACCATAATGAAGCTTCAGGATGCACTTGGCCGAAAACCGAAATGACGGTTTTGAAAAAATTAATACATTTTTCACACACTTTTTTTTTGGAAACAAATATATTCTAATGATTAAAAAAAAAAAAAAAAAAAAAAAAAAATACCCCAATTTTTTTGTAAAATATGAAAGACGATTATATGCCAAGTAAATAGATACCCAACATGTCACGCTTTAAAATTGCGCACGCTCGTGGAATGGCGTCAAATTACGGTACATAAAAATCTCCATGGGTAACGCTTAAAAAATTTCTACAGGTTACCAATGTAAAGTTACAGAGGAGATCTAGTGCTAGAATTATTGCTCTTGCTTCCGACGTTCGTGGCGATACCTCACAGTTTGAAAACCGTTTACATATGTGGGTGTGGCCTACATATGCATTCAACAACACGCGAGCACAGGGGGATGGGGCACTTCAAACTTTTTTTTTTTAACTTTATTTTTTTTTACACTGTCCCTTTAATTTTTTTTTTAAATCACTTTTATTCCTATCACAAGGAATGCATGCATCCCCTGTAAATTAAATAAACAGTGACAGGTCCTCTTTATGGAGAGATATGGGCTTAATAAGACCCCACATCTCTCCTCTGCAATGTAAAGCATTGATCTAGTGCTTTAAAAAAACAAAAATGGCCTTGGTGTCGCTCCAGTCCTCCAAGGGCATAGAGATGAGTGGAGGCTATCTTTCCTTCACTCATCTCTAGGCATAGGGATGAGTGGAGGCCATCTTTCCTTCACTCCTCTCTAGGCATAGAGATGAGTGGAGGCCATCTTTCCTTCACTCATCTCTAGGCATAGAGATGAGTAGAGGCCATCTTTCCTTCACTCATCTCTATGCCCAGCGCCCTTTATTTTTATGTCAACTCAGACAAAATGCTTTGCCAGAGAAGTCCATCCCCCGATAAGGTACCCTCCCCATTTTGAGGACATGTAAGCTGGTATAGTGCAGAAGTTGGAAAACAAGCCTCCCCTTTTCCTGTCCATCCAGGCCACATGTTTGAATAAGGGTCAGGTGCTAATTTTGGGGTGAACCCTACACTTTTTCTTTGCATTAGTTCACACTTAAAGTTCATACCACACCCAAAGAGTGTGTTGTGAAATTTGGACCCCATGTAAATTTCTCTTTTGTGCGCATGGGTCCCCCTCATCAAGGGTAGATGTATTGATTTGGGGGACCCAATGATTCTTGTTTATATACTTTTTTTCCACAAAAGTAAGGATGCACCAAAATGTCCCCCTATTTCCCCCCTAAAACACCCCTATCGGCCATTGGCGATATGAAAAAAAAGCACCGATACAGGTGCCAAAAAAAAACCCCAGCCTCCTTGCCACCCCTCGGTCGTTCTCAGCCTTACCTGAAACACCACCGAGCGATCCCGGCACTGGGCATAGAGATTAGTGAAGGAAAGATGGCCTTCATTCATCTCTATGCCCTTGGAGGACCGGAGCGATGTCACTTATGGTTACGGCGGCTTGTAAAGAACAATTTCTTTTTTTTTAAAGCAGTAGATGCTTTTTTTGATCTAATGCTTTACATTGCAGAGGAGAGATATGGGGTCTTACTGACCCTACATCTCTCCATAAAGAGGACCTGTCACTAATTATTTCTATCACAAGGGACGCATGCATTCCTTGTGATAAGAATAAAATTGATTACATTTTTTTTACAGTGTTAAAAATAAATCAATGTAAAAAAAAAATGTTTAAAGTGCCCCCGTCCCCTGTGCTCGCACGTAGTGGTGAAAGCATATGTAGGCCACGCCCACATATGTAAAAGGTGTTCAGACCACACATGTGAGGTATCCCCACGAAAGTCAGAGCAAGAGCAATAATTCTCGCACTAGACCTCCTCTGTAACTTTACACTGCTAACCTGTACACATTTTGAAAGCGTTACCCATTTTTAAGTACTGTAGTTTGACGCCATTCCATGAGCGTGCGCATTTTTAGAGCATGACATGTTGGGTATCTATTTACTCGCCGTAACATCCTCTTTCATATTTTATAAAAAAATTGGGGTATATATTGTGCTTGTTTTTTTTTTAAATCATTAAAGTGTATTTTTTTCCAAAAAATATATATTTTTAAAAATTGCCCTATTCGGTTTTTTGCCAAGTGCATCCTGAATTTCCATTTTCAGCAACAGAATTTTCATTTTGATGCACCACTAATGAAAATGTCGCTTGTTTACATCGTATAGGTGTGCCCCCTCACAGGCGAGCTTAAGGCATCTCACAAGAATGATATTTAAAGGAATTGTCCATTTTTAATGTTTGACTTTAAGCCGTATTTATTAAACTGATCCTTGCTGAATAGACATTTTGCATAATAAAAATTTCATTGATACGTCCGCCTGGGTAGTGCCCAGCTCTCCATGCCATTTGTTTGACAATCTCTTGCCTATCAGCCTTCAAATGGTCAAAAATGACTTTAAATATTCAGCATCCATTGACTTCAAGTGTTACTAAACCCCAGATCCCGCATTCACTATATCCGCTCTCCCCTGACCCTGCATTCACTATATCCGCTCTCCCCTAGACCCTGCATTCACTATATCCGCTCTCCCGACCCCACATTCACTATATCCACTCTCCCCGGACCCCGTGTTCACTATATCCGCTCTCCCCGGACCCCGTGTTCACTATACCCGATCTCCCCAGACCCCGCATTCACTATATCGCTCTCCCTGGGCCCTGCATTCACTATATCCGCTCTCCCTGGACCCTGCATTCACTATATCTGCTCTCCCCAGACCCTGCATTCACTATATCCGCTCTCCCGGACCCCGTATTCACTATACCCGGTCTCCCTGGATCCTGCATTCACTATCCCGATCTCCCTGGACCCTGAATTTACTATAGCCACTCTCCCTGGACCCCTGGTTCACTATATCCGCTCTCCCTGGACCCCACGTTCACTATATCCGGTCTCCCTGGACCCCGCATTCACTATATCCCCTCTCCCGGACCCCAAATTCACTATATCCGCTCTCCCTGGACCCCGCATTCACTATCCCTGGTCTTCCTGGACCCCGAATTTACTATATCCGCTCTCCCCTGGACCCCGTGTTCACTATATCCGCTCTCCCCGGACCCCGCGTTCACTATATCCGCTCTCCCCGGACCCGCGTTCACTATACCCGGTCTCCCCGGACCCCGCGTTCACTATACTCGCTCTCCCCGGACCCCGCGTTCACTATATCTGGTCTCCCACAGTACACAGAACATGGAAATGTCATTATTTTAGTAAATATAAACTTTTAAATACCTTTTCTCATCAGCAGTTAGAGCAGTCTTGTGACTTCAGCAGAGCACTGGTTAAAGCTTGTAGGAGTTTTCTTTCTGCTCTAAGAGGATGCAGAACCCCTGACCTCTGTCTGGACAGCGCTGATTGGACCTGTGCTGATCACATGCACCCTCCCAAGAAAAAAAAAAACCTCTCTAGCAATACACACTAAACTGAGCATGTGACTACGGGTTCAGCCTGTCTTATCAGGTGGACATTTGAAGAAGAGGAGGAGCAGAGAAGACAGGATCAAACAACCTTTTTACACAATGCAGAGGATTAACCCTTAGAATCCACAGTGAGTTATAACAAGCATACTTTACTGCATCTACAGACTGATTGTACTGTTGTGGGTTTAGTAACACTTTCACTAGGGTTGGGGTTAGAACTAAGGAGCAGTTAAGTGAACCTCCAGGGAACTGAACCCAGACACATTTGGCTCAACCCTACACCCTTCTGTGAGATTTCTGATGTCTAAAAGTTCTGATTTCCGGGGATAACATTTCCCACACTCAGTGCAGGAATATGGCTTCTCTCCCGTGTGGCATATCTGATGTGCAGAAAGACTGGACCTCCAAGAGAAAGATTTTCCACACTCAGGGACAGGAATACGGCTTTTCTCCTGTGTGAGTTCTTTGATGATTATCAAGGTCTGACTTCCATGGAAAACATCTCCCACATATAGGACAGGAATACGGCTTCTCCCCTGTGTGCAATCTCTGATGGATAGCGAGGTCTGATTTCTGTGAAAAGCATTTCCCACATTCTAGACAGGTAAATGGCTTCTCCCCTGAGTGAATCCTCTGGTGCCTGTAAAGACTGGACTTCTCTGAAAAACATTTCCCGCACTCGGGGCAAGAATGAGGCTTCTCCCCTGTGTGCAATCTCTGATGCATAACAAGGTCTGATTTCCATGAATAACATTTCCCGCACTCAGAGCAGGAATATGGCTTCTCGCCTGTGTGAATCCTCTGATGTAAATAAAGATAGGACACCCGTGAAAAACATTTACTGCACTCAGGACAGGAATACGGCTTCTCCCCCGTGTGAGACCTCTGATGTTTATCAAGGTCTGATTTCTGTGAAAAACATTTCCCGCACTGAGGGCAGGAATACGGCTTCTCCCCCGTGTGAGATCTCTGATGTACAACCAGGGCAGATTTCTGTAAAAAACATTTACCGCACTCAGCACAGGGATACGGCTTCTCACCTCTGTGAGATCTCTGATGTCTAACAAGGTCTGATTTCTGTGAAAAACATTTCCCGCACTCATCACAGGAATATGGTTTCTCTTCTATGTGATATTTCTGATGTATGGTAAGGTCTGATTTCTGTGAAAAACATTTCCCACACTCAAGGCAGGAATTTGGCTTCTCCCCCGTGTGAGACCTGTAATGTATGAAAAGTTCTGATTTATGGAGAAAACATCTCCCACACTCAGAACAGGAATGAAGCTTCTTCCCCTGAACTCCGGCACCATACTCCGCAGTGCGAGGTTGTTCAGCATCAGAGGAATTCAATGGTCCATCCACACTGTGTTCACCATCGATAACTGAGCTCATTGTCATTTCTCCTGCACAACCTCTTGTGATGTCCTCATCTTCCATTTTACAACCTGGAGATAATGTGAGATGATCCTTTGAGGATTTCTCCATGGAGGTCCTGGAAAGAATATAAAAACATGATAAATAGGTACAAAAAGGTTGGTTCACGTAAGTCAAGAATTCATCTGGATCAGGAAGGTTTGAGGGACCAGATGCTCTCTCTAGATGTCCCAACCAGCTGTGACTGCTTCGTTAAAAAAGGTCCTTTGGTCCTCCTCCCAGATCACATCTACATTTCCCCAGCCTTGTCAGAAGAGCAGGAACCAATGGGGACTGGGGGGGCATGTTCTTCACACAACCACAAGCCTTGCACTGGGTCATGTGATCTCTGATGATAAAGAGGTAGCAGAGATAACAGAATATATTGTGGCTCACCTGTGCTGATCTCTGTAGGAGTGTCCTCCTCTTTGATGTCCTCGTCATTCCAGCCTCCTCCGTATATTGCTGATCATCCCTCACATACGTCTCTTCTACTTCACCCTCAACTTTCATCTTCATCAGATCTTCACCCTAAACCAACAGAATGGCAGAAATAACATCTGTAATATAGAAGGATTTATGATGTGAGATCACATAGAAAATATCATCTTGTAGAGTCCACACATCGTCTCCACATGTCAGAGTGTTCCATCACTTTATGTTCCAGACCCTCAACTCCACCGACCTGATGATGGTGAGGGTGGTGTGACCTTCCTGTGTGGAATCCTGGGAATACAGAGGATGGGGACATCTCTCTGGTGGGTTCCTGTCATTAGGTGTCTCCATTATAATGTTCTTGTAGAGATCCTTGTGTCCTTCTGAAAGCTCCTCCATCACACGATACTCCTCATCCTCTTTATACTCTTCTTTACCAATAATATTATCACCCCCGAGATTTGCCCTCTGAAATATAATATAATAAACATTCATTATAACAAACATGCTGTGTATAAATCTTAACTACCAATAATTGTTCCTCATCTACCTGATGATGGTGAGGGATGGTGTGACCTTCCTGTGTGGAATCCCGGGAATACAGAGGACGGGGACATCTCTCTGGTGGGTTTCTGTTACTTGATGGCTCCACCATGGTGTCCTGGTACAGATCTTTGTGTCCTTTTAAAAACGCTGACTCCTTCACCCAATCTTCATCATCTTCTTTGTTTATCTCTTCTTTAACATCAACTTTAGAACCATTCAAGGTTCTACTCTGAGAATATAATAAAAAGGACAAATTGTAACAATACAGATAATGTGCAGAACCTGACACACACAATGATACAGTCACCATCCAGACACATCCCTTGTCTGTTACTGGAGAATGTCCCAGAATTCCCGGCACCGCTCACCTCTCCTGTCAGCAGCTCCATCATCTTCTTGGTGACTTCTAGAATCTTCTTATTGATGTTTATCTCAGGTGTGAGGGAGTCACATGGAGGCACTGTGATGGTGATGTGATCTCCAGACTTTACAGGAGGAAATCTCTATTAAAGCAAGAAAAGTAATATCATGTCACATTCTCAGACTCCTCCTCACCTCTCCGGTCAGGTCTGTGTTTTATTAATAGAGATAAGAGTGATGTCATGTGACCTCCCAGAATCCTCCTCACCTCTCCGGTCAGGTCTGTGTTTTATTAATAGAGAAGATTGATGTCATGTGACCTCCCAGAATCCTCCTCACCTCTCCGGTCTGGTCTGTTTTTCATTAACAGAGATAAGAGTGATGTCATGTGACCTCCCAGAATCCTCCTCACCTCTCCGGTCAGGTCTGTGTTTGCTTAATAGAGATCAGAGCGATGTCATGTGACCTCCCAGAATCCTCCTCACCTCTCCGGTCAGGTCTGTGTAATAGAGATAAGAGTGGTCATGTGACCTCCCAGAATCCTCCTCACCTTCCGGTCATTAATAGAGATAAGAGTGATGTCATGTGACCTCCCAGAATCCTCCTCACCTCTCCGGTCAGGTCTGTGTTTTATTAATAGAGATAGGAGTGATGTCATGTGACCTCCCAGAATCCTCCTCACCTCTCCGGTCAGGTCTGTGTTTTATTAATAGAGATAGGAGTGATGTCATGTGACCTCCCAGAATCCTCCTCACCTCTCCAGTCAGGTCTGTGTTTTATTAATAGAGATGATTGATGTCATGTTACCTCCCAGAATCCTCCTCACCTCTCGGTCAGGTCTGTGTTTTTCATTAACAGAGATAAGAGTGATGTCATGTGACCTCCCAGAATCCTCCTCACCTCTCCGGTCAGGTCTGTGTTTGCTTAATAGAGATAAGAGTGATGTCATGTGACCTCCCAGAATCCTCCTCACCTCTCCGGTCAGGTCTGTGTTTGCTTAATAGAGATCAAAGCAATGTCATGTGACCTCCCAGAATCCTCCTCACCTCTCCGGTCAGGTCTGTGTGATGTCATGTGACCTCCCAGAATCCTCCTCACCTCTCCAGTCAGGTCTGTGTTTTATTAATAGGGATAGGAGTGATGTCGTGTGACCTCCCAGAATCCTCCTCACCTCTCCGGCCAGCAGGTAGATGATCTCCAGGGTGAGGTTTAGTATCTTCTCAGTCATGTGACTCCGGTCCTCCTCCATCCTCACTGATGTGGTCATACTGGTTTCTCTGTAGACTGATCGAGAAATATCTGGTGGAAATTAGGAATGGGCACATGTAGGTTGGGTTACTTCATGTTTGTTGGGTTTCTGACACCCTGTGAACCTCTTATATCCTGTCCTACCTGCTTGAATAGAAATTACATTTTCCAGGTATAGTCTGTTTGGTCTCTAAGCTACTTTTGCTCAGTTTTAGGAGTTTTGATGAGAACACAGGGAATACAAAAATGCTTTAAACGACAAGTTGGGGGGAAAACATAAAGCTTTAGCTGGTGTACAGGGACCAGCAGTTTTCAGGGATTGCATCATCAGCAGTATATGTAGACAGAGCGTACTTTGTCTGTGGAATTCATTTCTTGTACAATTAGCTTTCCTTGCAGAAACTAGCAGCACCCCAATCTACAATTATTTGACTTGTTTTATTAATCAAAAACTTTTATCTGGTAGCTTTAGCATTGAGATGCTTTTTTTGTCACCTGGTACTTGGATTGATTTCACCAGCATGAGTGGTGGCTCCAAAATAATTTTCATTTTTTAATATCAGAAAAATACAGGCGTGGTTGTACGAAGAGCCCACAGACTTCAATGCAGAGTCAGAAGTAGCAGATTTCTCAGGCTATGCCTGCAGACACAGAGGGGAGTCTGAGAGCAGCCATAGTGTCTGTGTGCTTCAGCCAGTGATAATCAATGGACGGGGAGAGCTCGTTTCAAAAGGGACACATCAGTGGAGGGGATATATAGGGATGAGATTCAGGTCAGATTCCCCGGAATTTGTTTTCAAGAACTGAAAAATTTTGTTAAATTTTGCGCACAACTAAACTTTTAAACAACCCATAATGCATTGCTTAGCCTATTAAATCTGGCCAGCTGATTGGCAAGAACCAATTGTTACGCATCGTTTCAGCTTCTCCGGTCAGCTGAGGATTAGCAAGGCTGGCCATACATTATACAATTTTCTTGAGATTTTTGCTTTAGATTTACCAAAAACCATATAATATGAGGTCAAACCTAAACAACACTTTCAGTTGTATGCAATTAGGCAGGCCCTTGCACTACATTGTTGAAGGTAAATCTAAAGGAAATTGGGCAGAAATTGGACTGTAAATTGTATAGTGTATGGCTAAGTTTACTCATTCTCTCCTAGCTGCTCCAATCCATTGGGGGTAACGAGTTTTCTCAGACTTCTGCCTGCTCCATCAGTTGCGGAGTAAAGTCTTCTCAGTCTCCTAGCTGTGTCATGGAGTGACAAGTCTTCTCAGTCTCCTAGCTGTCCCCGTCAGTTCTCAGTCTCCTAGTCGTCCCTGTCAGTTGCGGAGTAACAAGTCTTCTCAGTCTCCTAGCTGTCCCCATCATTGTGGGTAACAAGTTTTCTCAGACTCCTAACTGTCCCCGTCAGTTGCGGAGTAACAAGTCTTCTCAGTCTCCCAGTCGTCCCCGTCAGTTGCAAGTCTTCTCAGTCTCCTAGCCTCCCCGTCAGTTGTGGACTAACAAGTCTTCTCAGTTGCTAGTCGAGTCAGTTGCGGAGTAACAAGTCTTCTCAGTCTCCTAGCTGTCCCCGTCAGTTGTGGACTAACAAGTCTTCTCAGTCTCCTAGTCGTCCCTGTCAGTTGCGGAGTAACAAGTCTTCTCAGTCTCCTAGCTGTCCCCATCAGTTGTGGAGTAACAAGTCTTCTCAGTCTCCTAGCCGTTCAGTTGTCAGTAACTCTTCTCAGTCTCCTAACTGTCCCCGTCAGTTGCGGAGTAACAAGTCTTCTCAGTCTCCCAGTCGTCCCCGTCAGTTGCGGAGTAACAAGTCTTCTCAGTCTCCTAGCTGTCCCCGTCAGTTGTGGACTAACAAGTCTTCTCAGTCTCCTAGTCGTCCCCGTCAGTTGCGGAGTAACAAGTCTTCTCAGTCTCCTAGCTGTCCCCGTCAGTTGTGGACTAACAGTCTTCTGTCTCCTAGTCGTCCCTGTAGTTGCGGAGTAACAAGTCTTCTCAGTCTCCTAGTCTGTCCCCGTCAGTTGCGGAGTAACAAGTCTTCTCAGTCTCCTAGTCGTCCCCGTCAGTTGTGGAGTAACAAGTCTTCTCAGTCTCCTAGCTGTCCCCCCGTCACTTGTGGAGTAACAAGTCTTCTCGGTCTCCTAGCCGTCCCCGTCACTTGCGGAGTAACAAGTCTTCTCAGTCTCCTAGCCGTCCCCGTCAGTTGCGGAGTTGTAACA